CCCCACTGTGTTGTCTGCCAGCAGGCCCACACTTCTAACTGATAAGGCCCCCAGTCCTCCAGAGAGGCTGAACACTTCAGTGCCATCCTCAGTCGGACCTCCTCTGTCCGCATGGATGCCATATTCAAGCTGCTTCAAATTGCCTTCACCTGCAGTTTGTTGGTAGAGCTTCAAACGAAGTTCAAAAGGCCATACAGCAAATGTCTGGTGGCAAAGCTCCTGAAGTCGACATGATTTCCAGTGGAGGTCTACGAGTCAGGTAACTGAGATCTTCTGCAGTATGTGGGTGCAGGAAGTAGTCCCTCAAGAATTCAAGGATGCCTCTTCATCCACCTGTACAGGAAGAAGGGAAATCTTCAACTCCATGACAAGTCACAGGGTCATCTCCCTTCTCTCAACTGCCAGCAAGATGCTAGCAAGAGTCCTCAACTGGCTGACTGACCATCTAAATGACCTACTGCCTGAGAGTTAATGTGACTTTAGAAAAGGACATGGAATGACCAGCATGGTGTTTGTGGCCTGGCAGCTTCAAGAAAAGTGCCAGGAATAGAACATCAACCTTCTCTTCATCTCTGTCAATCCAGCCAAATCCTTAGACATGGTGAACTACAAAGGCCTCTGGGAAATCATGAAGTAAGGATGCCCTAGAGGATTTATCAATATAGTTCAACAGTTCCATGATGGTACATGTCCTTGTGAATAGCGAATGCTCTGACCCCTTTCCAGTTACGAATTGTCAAGCCGGGCTGTGTGCTCACACCGACCCTATTCTGCCATGCTGTTGGATGCCTTACAAGACAATGTCCTTGGTATGGGGATCAGGTACCATTTTGATGAAGACATTTTCAACCTGCACGGGCTCTGAGTGAGCTCCAAAGTCCAGACAGTCATCAGCAAAGAAGTTGCAAAGCATGGCTGTGTGTCATGCACAGGCTGACATGCAATGGTCCATGGACCTACTCTCATTGGCCTGCAACAACTTCAGGCTCTATCAACACAGACTGAAGTGATGTTTCAACCTGCACATGGCACAACATCCCAGGAACCACATGTCTTGGTTAAAGGCCAACAACTGGTGATAGTCAACAAGCTTGCCTGTCCAGGCAGCATGCTCTCCTGTGCTGTCCACATAGATGACAGGGTCAATGCGAGACTGCCAAAAGGCCATACTGGCTTTTGCTAATCTGTAAGTTGGTCTGGGACCACAGAGATACTGGAATATCAGTGGAACTGAAGGTTTACAAAACCATCTTTCTCATGACTCTATGCTTGCAAAACCTGGACTGTCTACTAACATCATGCCAAGAAATTAAACCACTTCCTCCTGTACTGTCTGTGAAAGATACTAAAGATCAAGTGACAGGACAAGATCCCAGACACCCAGGTGCTTGGAAGATCAGCTCTTCTCAGTATTCACACCTTGCCGAACCTGGCAAAGTTGAGATGGGCCAGCCATCTTTCAAGAATGCCTGATGCTCACCTGCCAGAGAAAATCTTCTATAGTGAACTGTCAAATGGAATGTGCCACAAAAGCGTGCCAAGAAGGTAGTGCAAAGACACCCTAAAGGTGTCCTTAAAGAGTCTCAGCATCAGCCCAGAGTCTTGGGAACAAATCGCTCACAATGGTCCATCCTGGAGGTCATCAATCCAGAATGAAGCACTGGCCTTTAAACAGCAGTGCTTGGCAGAAGCAATGAAGAAACGTGGGGCTAGGAAAATGAAAACCTATCATATCCAGTCCTCATTGCGTTTCTGCCCCTGCTGCAGGAGACTGTTTAAAGCAAAGATCGAGCTTATAAATCACCTGTGTACCCATGCGACCTAGCCCCTGTCCCTCTCCTTTTTTCTCTTTCCTCTCTCCTCTCTTCCCCTGTGTTTTTTTTTTTCTTCCTCTTTCTCCTCTCTCTCCTCCCCCTCTCTCTCTCTTTTCTTCTTCTTTTCTCGCCCATGAAGGACAACACTCATACCTTCCCTGACAAGGATAACCCTCTTGTACTCCATAGCCCTGCTATCTTCCGCACCTGTGCCCCTAAGTCTTCCCATGGCTCTTTTCCCCTCCCCCCTGGTATCTAAGTACACCCCCAGTACTCTGAAACTACTTGTAATCCATGACCCTCTATACCCTCCCACTCCCCTATTACCAACAGTATACTTTCCCCCTTATTTATCCTTGTCCCTGATGCTTTCCCTGAATTCCACCATGTGTCCCAATACCCTTTCCAGTGATCATCTATCCCTCACTACAATTGATATGTCTTCCATATATAACAGTGATTTTTATCTCCCTGGTGCTATCACCACTTTTAATTAAACTCTGGCTCCTAATCCATTGTACTACCAGCTCCATCACACAGATAAACAGCTCAGGTGATAATGGGCATCCCTATCTAAGCTGTTGCTACTTCTAAACCTCTGACTATAAAAAAACCTTTCACTAACACCCTACTTTGTGCCTCTTCGAAGATGGCCTGAACCCACCCCACAAAATGCCCTGGAAACCCCATCCCCTTCAAGACTCTAAACAGAAAACCATGCCTCACCTGATCATTATGCTTTCTCCAGCTCTAAGTATCCCCACCACTAATTCTCATTTCTGATCCCTTGCATATTCTACCAAGTCCCATAAAGTCCATTGCGTTTGTGAGATTCTTATGTTCTCCACTGCACATATCTGTTCCTCCCCAGTCACTTGTGCTAACACCTATTCCATTCTCTCTGCTAGAACCTTCAATAAGTGACTTGCAATCAATGTTCAGCAAATTGGTCTCTAATTTCTTAAATTTTCCCTTCCCACTTCCTTGTACAACAGTATGACAACCCCATCTGCAAATCCCTCCCCCACTTCACCTGCTTCCATGATCTGAAAAACCTGTACTAGATCTTTCCCTATCCACCCCTAAAATCTACAGTAGAATTCTTTAGGCAGCCCTTCTAACCCCAGTACTCTTTTATTTGAATCCGTTTCTTTTTCAAAACCTCTTTACTCCCCCAGTGAACTTCCTGCTCCAGCCCTTCTTTCTCCCCTTCCCCCATGTATCCTGTTAAACCCCCCACAAAATCCTCTACCTATCTGTCCTGGATTTGCTCCCCCTGCACTATATAACTCTTCATAGAACTTTTGTCACTTTCTTGTAAGATCAGCTCTTGGCCTTCTGCCTGCCCGCCTCCCTTCTGTCCTAAGTTTCCCCAATTCCCCTCTTCCTTCCTTACCCTTGCTGCAAAATATTTCTTCCAATTTTCCCCTTCCTCCACCCATGGTGCCTTCATGGTACTTTCTCTTTTCTGTTGGACAGCTCCCAACAGAATGGTTTTCTTAACTATTACCCACCACTCCCACTGTTGTGAAATTATTTCTGTACTGTGACCCACCCTTCGTATAATCTTCCAAACTCCTTACATACATACATACATACATTCCTGTCTTCTAACAATGTAATATTAAGTTTCCAAAGCCCAGCCCCCTGTTACCAGATTTGCCCATCACTTTGGTGTGCTCATTTATTAGGGATACATTTTTAGGGTCTTAGTAATTCTA